TGCCAAAGATAAATTAGCCTCAGAAAAAAGATAGAACCAGGCAACTCCTAAAGTTTCAGATCTGCTCATTTTTCTCCAGTAGCAGCAGGATTTTAATCTCATTCTAGATTTTAGAGAGCATCTTTTCAAGGACGGATGAGGATTAAGAGTGGGGACACCAGGGAGTGCTGATTACCTACTGTGTGCCAGGCATTATGCTACATGCTTTCACGTACATTGCAGACATTATTACCTTTGACGAGACTTCTCTCTCCCCTGGCAAATTCTTTGTCATCCTTCAAATTTCGGACATCTCTCCCCTCTCAGCAGCTTTCCCCAACTCACACTCTTATGCTCCTACTGACTTGGCTGGGTAGCCATTTTCTTATAATTACTTGTTTGCCTATCTGCTGCTTGAGCGAATGAATTAAATGAGAGTGAGAAATCTGTGCCTTTAGCTCCAGTGGCCAGCAAAAAGTCTGGCACACTGAAAGCACTCAATAAATAAGGGCTGAGCTGATGAATATCTCATGTAATCATCACCCTTCAGGGTGGTTATTATTATCCTCATTTTACTAATTGGTTACTTGAGGCTCAGAGAAATTAACTCACCCAGAGTTTAAAAAAAAATAGATTAAATGGCAGGGGTAGGTTTCTGCACTGCTTGCAAAGCCACTGTACCCCACTGCTTTAAAAATATGTCTCCAAAATAGTATTGGTGGTATGTGAGACTTAGCTATACAAGCACTGCTCAGATACTCCAGTATTCTTGTCCGAAGTCTAGATTTCTGATTTTCCTGGCCCTCGTGAAATTCATATATGAACATCAACGTAGAGGACAAATTGAAAGTTTAAATATGTTTCCTGTAGGAGCCATTAGGGATACCGAGAGATACGTTGCTTCTCTTGACTTTAGATAGTCTTAAATTTGTGATTTAAAAGTATTAGCTGAGAGAATGGGCAAATCTATAGAGACAGAAAATAGATTAGTGGTTTCCTAAAGCTGAGGGGATACGGATGACTGCTAATCGGTGTGAGAGGTTTTTTTAAAAATAAATTTATTTAAATTAGTTTCAAGTATACAGTACATTGGTTAGAAGAGGAGGTGACAAAATGTTCTAATATTATATTTTGGTAATGGCTGCACAACTGAATATACTAAAAACCATTGACTTGGCATACTTGAAATGAGTGACCTCTTTAGTAAGTTAAGTATATCTCAGTAAAGCTGTTTTAAAAAGTATTAGCTAAGAATAGGAAATGATTGGTCATCAGATTTTTCCAGCATTCTTTCAGAATAAAGTAAATTGAGTAGCTTATATATATTTGGGTTATTGTCTCATTATGTTCACTCTTAGAGGAAAACTCTAACTCAGTATAGCTGGGTAGTTTGGGGAGGCAGGTGGTTTTGGTCTTTATATGTGTGTGCCCTTTCAATTTTAGCTGAGTCATTCAGATGAGGCCATCAGTGTCCCCTAGCTCTGAGCCTCCTTCCTTCTGGGCAGCGATAATGGTGAATGTGCTCAGGCAGTTTTGCCAAATTACCAGCTGAGCCTCACAGTGATGGGAAGAGCATCATGAAGCCACTGGCACCTCTAGAGAGGGTCACAGACTCGCAGCCTGCTCTGCTGGCTTTGGGGCAAGGAGCCTCGCTCTCCAGCAGAGAGAGTGATGCCTAGGTTCCCAGAGCAAATGGTTAATAGCGTACAAGGATGAATCAAGGAACTCAGTAATCTGCCCTTTGTGTTTGTGTCTTCAGTTGAGTGCATTTGTTTTGTTTTAATTCCCATAAACCACCTATGCGTGGCAGGGTTGGCTAGCTTTGTTTCAGCAGATCTTCGTCTCCCAGGGCTCCTTTTTCAAAACTGTGACTCCTTCGTCTCCCAGGGCTCCTTTTTCAAAACTGTGACCGTGACCCACAGTCATATATTTACATTGTGACCCATCATGGGTCATGGTTATAAAGGCAGATGATCTGAGGGGATCCTAGAGTGCAGAGAAACTGGATTCATTCACGTTCAGCCATCCCTCTGCAGTGGGATTGGGTAACAGGAACCTTGTAGAATAATCTACATTTCTGAGTGAAAAAGCTGCTTTAGCAACCCTGGCTAGCAGATTAAGGAAAGAGACTCAATTTACCATTTTCTCTTGCCTTAGAGATGGAGGGTGGGAATTCTCTTTGGTGGTCAGTGATGCAATGGGTAAAAATCTTCCATTTATGAAAGAGAAGCTATGTTGTGGTTATACAGCTTGCTCAGCTGTGGATACATCTATGAAAACCATTTCCTGTGTGAAGTCGAAAGAAAGTTTTCTGATTTCCCTACCAAACTACGTGGGAACAGATCCTTCTCTTTGGTAAAATCCATTGCATTGCCTTAGCAAAGTGACATCGTGGACTCAGGTTAAAACCACTCCCTTCTTTTGATCACCTCTGCAGATAATTGCTCCCAGGGCTCTTTAAATCCTGGATTGAGGGGCGCTGTGATGGGGACGGGCTGACGCTGATGATGGTGTGCCCTGGCTCTCTGAGGAGAAGTGCGAGCTGCCCTGTGGAGGGGGGCAGGTTGGAGTCTGAGCCTCAGTGAGTTGCCCATTGAGTTAGCAGGATTATGGCTTCTAAGAGGCCGGAGAAGATACCCTGGCAACTAAATGAGCAAGCTATGTAGCAGATGCCACTGTAAGAGGATTTGGAGTCAGGCCCCAGCAGGAGCGCCAAGTGCTAAAAATGACCTTTCTTACCACGTCAGCCTCGTTTATGAAAGGACCACAGAACACACTCCCCTCCACACAGAACTCTGAGGTGTCAGGAATCACAACTGTGTCCAAGGTCCATATCCTCCTCATTTGGAATTTAGCATTTAGTAGCAGTGAGAAATTTGGGAAGGAAGGGAAGTAATTTTGCAAAATGTATTCTGGCCAGCTCATATGAGTTTCATTTAAAGTCATATGGTTATTGTGCTTACCCATTTCTAGAAAGGAGCACAGGCATGACTAGTTCTCAGTGAGGTCTCTGTGATGTCAGATTAGAGGAATAGTTCTGGTCTGGCTAAAGACACCCCCACATCCTGAAACTTTAACCTGATCTCAACCTGGCGGTGCCCAAGAATTTAAAGTTAAGTTTATGTTGACGTCCTCAGATTGTTTTCATGAGAAGATAGAGACCTGCCTGGGAGAAAAAGGAAGCTGAACATCAAAGGAAGCACAGAATGACGTTTGAGAAAGCACGCCAACTCCCTAATCAGCAGTTCGCCAAACAACCCGTAATGGAGGCCCATTTATCTTTCTGCCCTGTGCTTTGCTTCTCACGTTAGCTAGTTTGAGAGAGGTGCTGTTTGCTCAACTGCGTTTTCCTGATGGGAGTGATCAGGGTGAGTATGGCTCCTGCCCTCAGCCCAAACAGGTAGGCTGCAGACCCGCCCAGACCAGCCTGGCTTAGCACTGTCACAGGAGAAAGCCAACAAAGCTCACTGTTAGAGAGGTCATTGATTTGTTAGCTGCCACATCCTGATTCTGCCTCGTCTCTTCTTTGCCTCTGTGGCTGGGACTGTTTGGGAGCCCATATGGAACCAGTATCTGGAAAACAAGCTGTGCCCTCCTCAATTGAGCTCCCAGGGTTCTGCATAAAGAAAAATGTCATTATGGGCTTTGTTAGAAGCTGTATTTAATAATTCCTTTAAAATTCTGTCTCAGACATGTAAATGGCCTGTTGGTCAATAAATTATTCTCCCCAGCTGTGCCTGATCCTACAAATTAAAGCAACAGCAGTTTGTAACTCAGGGGGAAGCGTTCCCCTCCCCAGGCATAATCCTCGTTGCCAATAAACTGGATATTTCCTCCTTGGAGAGCCCCCAGGCCTCTTCACTCCCCAACTGCTAGAAAATGGAGGCCCTTCCCTGGTTTGCCAT